CCTCCTCCTCCTCCTCCTCCGGCTCCTCCTCCTCCTCCTCCTCGTCCTTCTCTTCCTCCTCCTCCTCATCCTCCTCCTATTCCTATCCTTATTCCTTATTAGAATATACTCCTACTCCCCCCTCAGGCCGGCCATTAGGGGCCGCATCCGGGGGGTCCCATCCTAACCTGTAAAAACAATACAAAATCAACATTTTTCTTATTTTTTCTTCTCGACATGGACGTCCTGTCGTCCACGGCGATAATCCATTGCAAAAAATACCACAAAGAGCACACGCGCGCGTTCATGTCAGAATCCTACCGAACACCGTGTGTTTGCAAGCATTTCAACATAAAAACATCAAAAACCAAATGCTTTTTTCACAAAAATTGTACAAATTTCCCGCCCGGGCTCTCTTGCTGAAATCATAGGAAAACCATAGGAATCTTAAGAATTCGGTCAAATCCAGCGATTTCACGTCATCGCGCGGTGCACTCGCGATGCTCTGTCATGCACCCAGGCCGCGAATCCTGTGCAAAAAATACCACAAAGAGCACACTCGCGCGTTCATGTCAGAATCCTACCGAACACCGTGTGTTTGCAAGCATTTCAACATAAAAACATCAAAAACCCAATGCTTTTTCACAAAAATGCTTTGGGGTGTCCTGTCAGACCGTCGGGCTTCCTCCGGCCACCTCTGGCTTCCTGCGGTGTACCGGGCCATTCTCGACTCGTCTGGCAATGCGTGCGCGGCATTCAACACGCGCTCGCCAGTTCCCGTCGGCAACCGCCATCGCGGCCGCATCAGCTGTACCAAACCGGCTGGCCGGTGTGACTTCGGCCCCCAGTTGTGCCAGCTTTGCTTCTTATGTTGTGGGAGGGCGGGTGGGACTGGGCATGCCATGCTTGACTCGCTCGAGCTGGCTAGCTTGACTCCAACTCCTACTCCTACTCCTATTCCTACTCATACTCCTACTCATACTCCTACCTCTACTCCTATTCCTACGACTACTACTACTACTACTACTACTACTACTACTACTACTACTACTACTACTGCTACTACTACTACTACTACCACTACTACTACTACTACTACTACTACTACTACTACTACTACTATTACTACTACTGCTACTACTGCTACTACTGCTACTACTACTACTACTAATAACAATAATAAAAGAATGGTAACAGCAATACTACTATTACTACTACTACTACTACTACTAATACTACTACTACTACTACTCCTACTACTACTACTACTACTACTACAACTACTACTACTACTACTACTACTACTTCTACTACTACGACTACTACTACTTCTACTACTACGACGACTACTACTGCTACTACTACTACTACTACTACAACTACTAATACTACTACTACTACTACTACTAC